GAACAATTTTTTCAATTTGGAAATGCTGCTATGGTGTCAAGAGGGAGCACTCTCCTCTTCATGCTGGAGCTCCCTGTTTGTTCAGCATTGCCATGATGTATTACAGTTCACTCTTGAAGAGCAGAGGCAGTGCACAGGAGAGATGTAATCCAGCCAGCAAGCCTGGGCCAGGCAGGAGAATGGGCAGATGATGTATCATGGCAAAATTTTTTCAATTTGGAAATGCTGCTATGGTGTCAAGAGGGAGCACTCTCCTCTTCATGCTGGAGCTCCCTGTTTGTTCAGCATTGCCATGATGTATTACAGTTCACTCTTGAAGAGCAGAGGCAGTGCACAGGAGAGATGTAATCCAGCCAGCAAGCCTGGGCCAGGCAGGAGAATGGGCAGATGATGTATCATGGCAACGTTTTAAAATAAAAACACTTCAGTTTTCAGCTGAATTGTTTATGGTTTTCAAGGTGAGTGGGGAAATGTAAACAAAAAGTTGACACTTTTCACAGGAAAATCTGTTTGGCGACCCCCCCCCCCATTTTTCCTCAAAATGCAACTTCAATACAAATTTTGAGACCAGCAGTATCTGCAATGTCTATTAAAGATCTCAACATGAATTGTGATCAAGAACAGTTTGAATAAAAATATTATGTTGGCAAGAATCTACTCTGTATAAAAGCCTCAAGTTGCAGTATAGCACAACTGACACTCACATTTCCATAACAATCCTCATCATCTTCAGACATAGCAGGTAAATAGGCTGTGAGCTTTGGGGGTGTCTGATGATGCAGATTCTCCCATGTAATGGTTTCAAAGAATGGATGAGCCTTAAGAGGTCCATACCCTCCCATTTCTTCACAACCTAATCTCTTTGTAGCATCCAGAACCTGAACAAGTTCAAATGAAGTTAACAATTTTTTAAAATAATGGTAACCAGTTTCACTTTCAACTTTATAACAGCATTATGGCAATCCCATCTGGGTTTTAACCTGCACATTAACATGCAAAACTCTCTATTAGTCTGTCCAGCTTTAAAAAATTGCACTAAGGTAAATATTTTCTGTAGGTTCATTTCACTCCTGCACCTAATCATCATTGATAAGACATCACTTTTTAAATCCTCACAATACAAACATTTCTTAGCATAATTCTATAGCAGGTATAAGTACTATGGTGTGTGATAGGGGTAAGTTCTTAAAATATAATGAAAATTAACTCAAATTTTACCAATATGAAACTATTTCTGTCTAATAGCTAGAGAGATGTTTTCAGATAAATAATGCATCATACAACTTTCCAAGAAATAAATTAAGGGTATGAAGAGTTTGTAAATGTGTGCAGTAAGTCTGATGTGTTCTTGTGTGTGATTATCTAGAATAATTTATTTCAGCTTGATTAATCAATGTGTTCCTTCTACACACACCTTCACAATTCAGATAAAAGTAAATTTTAAAAGCAGCTTAATAACAGATGCTATTTTCAAGAAAAATTTTCTCCATAAATGGCCAAGAACTTTAAGGTTTCTTGTTAAAGGAGGTTTGGAAGTTTATAGTAGTTTGGATACAAATGTAGGAAAACTTCATAAATTCAGCACATTATGCAGATCCTATTTACTTTATTCATCTGACAGTAATATAACTTGAATATTTACCAAAAGCTTTTCCACAAGGTCTTTTGCCTTGGGGAAGAATTTTTCTGGAAAGTCATATTCCAACTTAATTATTTTCTGAAATATAAGATATTCATTGCTGAAAGAAAGAGAATATAATATTTAGTCATCAGATGTTGCCTATGCTACTTTTACCATGGCATCACACAAGACAAACAGTACATAGAATTTTTTTAAATAACCCATTATTCTTTCAATATTGAGGGCCAGCTCCTGTGAAGCTGCTCAAAGACGACCAGAGAGAGAGCACAAGAAGCTTTCTCCCACCTTTATAGCCCTGAGCAAAGGACACACTAAATTCCTGAAGGGCAAATAGTTCCCTACTTTTTGTACCCTTTGGGGTACTAGATGCCTGAAAGAGCACGAATGCTGAAGTAAGAGAAACGGACTCAGCATAGAGGTGGGAGTGTGCGATAGCCTCCTCATGGATGTGTTAGCCACCATGGTGATATGAACTGTGGGGGAGCTCCAGGAGAATTTTGACTAGCCCCTGGGGACTCCCGGTTGTAGCAAAGGCACAGTCTCTAGCCCTAAATTATTAGATATAATGAACAATGGTTAAAATCGTAACTAGAACTTTCAGGGTATACCGTAGTTAATATCACTTTAAAACAGTGCAATTTAATAACAAAAACAAAACTATAATTTACATACAAGATAGGATCTGAAGTCTCTTACCCAGCTCTAAATGGTGGCAATCCGGCTACAAGCTGGTATATTATACATCCAAGAGCCCAGAGGTCAGAACTTTAAAGGAAGAGGGAGAAAAAAATTGCCCATACAAATTACTGTCTTCATTCAGTAAACCTATACATTTGACAGCATTACTTATTCTCAGCTTTTACCAATCAGGATACCAGGAAAACATATAGTCAATGGAAGAGACTAATTCAGCACAATTCATACACACTACATACAACATGTGGCAAGAAAAGCCAGCTAGAAAAGTAGGCTATAAAGAAAAGTTGTCTCTATATTCCAACAAAGTACAATAGATATGATAAAGGAAAAAAGTACACAACTCAAGTATACATCTGAGCTTACTTGTTCCTAAACCACTGCCAGCCCACATACATGACAGATCATCAGAAAGAACAGAAAAGCAACTACTAGTGCCTTAGGCTGCAACAATCTGGATACAGCAGTGCGTGAGCCTCAAAAACTACATCCCCTCTTCCCCCTCTTTATTTTCATTGAAGATTTTCATTTATGTCTAAAAGGCTAATGAGACTACACTACATTTGAAGCATTTTTTAGGACAACCACTATGTAGCAAGTAATAAGATGCTTGAAAAGCCACTTATTGATCACTTTACCACAACATATACTATTCACCTACTTTGGTGAACAACTTAGCATTATTTTTTCTTTTTCAGGATAGGACTTCTATCTTGCTGAAGAGACTACCAGCTCAGAGATTATCTGCTCTGTCTTTACAGGGAGCTTGTGGTTTCTAAAAGGAAATGGCTAACAATTTTCTTTTCTTTTTTTCATACTGGGTCAGACCAAAGGTCCATCTAGCCCAGTATCCTGTCTGCCGACAGTGGCCAATACCAATTCGCTAGTCAAACTCTCTAAAGCAATGAATACAGAAGGTAGCATACTTAGCTGCATATTTTAAAGCTTTGATGAACAGATCTGACATTTCCTTTAGCATATCTACTTTACTTTCTGTTGTGGTGAGGGAACAGCCAGATACCACAGCCTGAAACTGACTATGCAAGGTGTTACAGGAACCAAGCTGCAATGGGATTCCTGTTTGAAAAAGATCTTAAAGGTAAAGTTGTGAGAGACACAAAGCTCCGTGAAAACACAAGTGAACTGAAGGACTATCCCAGTGGACTAAATGAGTTCACTGCAAGAGGATCATGACTCTCTTCCCAGCTACCTACAGAAAAAGCAAAACATTCTATTGCATTTACAACAGAAGATGCTCATATTTGAGTTAACATATGTTCAAAATGGACTGAAAAAGGCTGGCAGCTATTTGGATGCAAAACTATTTCTAAAACTTTTTTGTTTATTACTATGCTTCCGGGATATCTGTGCTTTTCACCATCAACTTCCTTCTCATGACAAAACCTAAATCCTGTAGTACAGAATCTCTCAAATGGAGGTCTGCAAAGGTACTCCGGGGGTCCATCAGCCCACTGATCTTCTCTTCCCACTCCCTCCTGGGGCCTCCTCCATGCCAGGAAACAGCTGGTCTGTGGTATGCAGGAGATTGCCAACCGTCCTGGTTTCCTGGGAGTCTTCCAGAATCAGGCTGTCTCTCCTGGAGGACACTGAAGCTTTGGGGAAGAGGTGATGTGGGTGCGGCCTAGACTAAACAGGCAGGGGTGTTAGGCAATGTTTGGTAGAAGAGTTTCCATCTGTGAGCGGAGTGAATTTTGTGTGGTGCACCAAAATTGACATCACATGCACTTGTTCAGATGTGTGCTACCAGAACAGCCATAATGGGTCAGACCAAAGGTCAATCTAGCTCAGTATCTTCCAAGAGCGGCCAATGCCAGGTGCCCCAGAGGGAGTGAACAGAACAGGGAATCATCATGTGATCCCTCTCCTGTCATCCATTTCCAACCGCTGAAAACAGAGGCTAGGGACACCATTCCTACCCATCCTGGCTAACAGCCATTGATGGACCTAACCTCCATGAATCTAGCTAGTTCTTTTTTGAACCCTGTTAAAGTCTTGGTCTTCACAACATCCTCTAGCAATGAGTTCCACAGGTTGACTATGCACTGCGTGAAGGAAAACTTCCTTTGGTTTGTTTTAAACCAGTTACCTATTAATGTCATTTGGTGATCCTTAGTCCCTATATTATGGGAACAAGTAAATAATCTGTACACAGTATTCAAAATGTGGGCATCCCATGGTTTTATACAGAGGCAATATGATAGTCCCTGTCTTATTCTTTATGCATTCTTTAATGATTCCTAACATTTTGTTTGTTTTTTCGACTGCACACTGAATGGATGTTTATTACATATAAATATATTTATTTATATTTAAATTGTTAGAGAAGGAAAAAATATTAAAGAAGGGATAATTAACAAGGTGCAGGAGCCTGCACACATACACCTTGAAAACCACCAAGCTTGGCTCCTACTCTCACTCCCACCGAGCCTTATTCCCATCATTCCTGCATCCATGGGCTCCCTGACCTCTGCACCCCCATCCTGTGCTTCCTTTATCACTACCCCTGCATTGTGCCCCTTTTGCCCCATCTTCTGCACAGTGCCCCCTTCAACCCAACCCCTGCACTTTCCTCCCAGCCCAATCCAGTCAAAAAAGTGTAGTAATTTATAAAGCATACAAAAATTAATGCACCATCCCTCACCATTGACTCTAAAAGCTCATTCTGCAGTTGCAAGTAAATGACATTCAGAAAATGAATTTAGGGATATCACCAGAAAATTTCAGCCAGTTCTTTTTCTTCAGTTCACATTACTACACAGTACATAATCTAATTATTGATTATATTCCTTATAGCATCTGCATGCTTTAGATTCCCCTGTGAATCACAGAAAAGTCCCTTTAATATGTCATCATCAACTGCATGTTGATTTAGCAACAGTATACAATACAGCCTCTCTCCGAGTTACGTATGAGTTACGGACCAAACACTTGGCCGAAACTCGATCCGTTTGTAACTCGGACCTCATTGAGTTACACGCGACCGCACTGTTCATAAGCGCGGGTCGCGTTCATAACTCGGGGACCGCCTTTACGACCGCTCCATGGGAGCTTTGGTTGTAAATGCGAATGGTCGTAACTTGACCGTTCGCAACTCGGGGAGCGGTTGTAATCAATATTCATTAAGAAATTTTTAGTTGCCTATACACTCACAGAGAGAGACTGAGATTGAGATTCTGTATTTGTGCATTTGGTTTTTCTTCCTTGGGTGTAGCACCTTACATTTGTCCTTGCTGAATTTCTGATATACCTCAATTCTCTAATTTATCAAGATCCCTTTGAATTTTAGTTCTATCCTTCAGTTTTTGCAACCCCACCTCCAGCTACTTTTGTATCACCTGCAAATTTGATTAATATGCTCTCATTCGTACATGCAGGGTCATTACTAAAGATAGTAAACACCACAAGCCCCAGAATAAACCCCCGTGGAACTCTGCTAGAGACATCCTTCCAATCTGACATTGTCCCGTTAATAGCTATTTTTTCCAAACACTAATTTAGCAGTTGCCTTCAGCTAGCATATACAGTTATCTGAGGCAGTACAGTCATCTTATTCCCTATGGTAACTTGTGGCAAACATTGATTTTTTTTAAATGGGGAACACTGTAAAAGAGACAAGACATGTCTTCTCCACCAAGAGAGGCAAATGACATGAGGATATCAACAGAAAACTCTGCTTGCTACCTAACTAGAGATTCATGCAAGCGGTTTGTTAAGTAAATTGGTATCTCATCAAATTGAATGAAACAAAGCACCTCCTTCTATGGCAGGGGTTCCCAACCTTTTTCAGTCCCCGTATCCCCTTGGCTTTTAGTAAACCTTCCCATACCCCCTCTTCAATATGAAAGGAAATAAATTCTAGACTCTAGAATCCCCAACTTTTTTCACTAACTACTACTACTTTTGGAATATTTCAATTAGGATAATCTAGTTATTTACCAAATACTCCCTGTACCCCCTTGACAAGCTTCTCGTACCTCCTGGGGGTACACGTACCCCAGGTTGGGAACCCCTGTTCTATGGGAATGACTGAACTTATGATGGTTTGCTGAGTTGGCTCTTTCTCCTAGAGGCTCTATGTTGTGTTCCAGAACCTCAACTTTCATTAAAAGCACTCTAGCCTTAATTTTGCAAAGATACCCCTCAAAAATAAACTACAGAATGAACCTCCCTGCTCTGGCACCCTTGGGACCTAAGTGGTCCTGGGCCAGGGAATTTGCCAGTCCAGGGGAGGTCAATGAGCCCACGTTTCCACACGTCCTCCTGGCTGCCTGCTGCTGCCTAGGGCTCTACTCTCCCCATGGCGGAGGGAGACACTGCTACCCCTAATCCTCCCATGGCTCTGCTGTCACCCAGGGCTCTGTTTTTCCCCCCCAGGATCTGATTTTACCTGGGAGGGCTCCGCGCTCTGCCCAGTCACCCCACTGCTGACAGGGTTTCTCTTCAGCAGTCCTCACTCCTGTGCCCAGAGCTCTGCATTCCGCACAATAGCCCTGCTGTCGCCAGGGGCTCCTCCCCAGTGGCTCTGTGCTCCGTCCAGTAGCCCCACTGCCAGCAGGGGCTCTCCCACAGCCTGGGGCTCCCACACTCCACCTGGGCCATTTGATGACTGCACCCCAGCTGGGACCATGGTGCTATTTTTAGTATTGTGGTCCCAGCCCCAGCTACTCCTGTGGGTGTGGCCATGTGGCTGCCCTGTGTGCCAGGACTGCAGCCGGGGCTGTGGTGCTATTTTTAGTAGACTCCAGCTCCAGCAGCCACTATGTGGGCCACATGGTGGCTAACTCGCTGCTCCTGGGATGTGGCATCCATCCTCCTGCTGGGGCCGCAGCCACGCAGCTGTGCTGAGAACGTGAGGGCAATTGAAATTTTTGGTGCGCACCCATGCAGACGCGCATTTTAGAGGGAACCCTGGTGTTGGGGATCCAAGAAAAAAAAATAAATAAAAATGGGGGTCATCAGGCTGCTGAAGCTTGAGAATCGCTGCTGTATAATCACTATGTCTGCAGACCCCAGAACTCATAAGCAATCCAATAAGCTAGTGCTCACACATGGAGCAACATTGGCCAATAAGGAATGTATTTCGATTAAAAAAAGACAAGAGATGCTTAAGCAAATTTTCTTTAAAGTGTAAGATATTTTCAATACTATTTTACCTCTTTTAAAATACTTAAGCTAAGTCCTTAAAATTCTCTATAGATACAAAGACTACTTACCTTTTACAGGCAGATTTTTCTGTCAACAATTCCGGAGAAACGTATTGTGCTGTTCCAACAAATGAGTTTGCCCGTGCTGGGAGAAAAGGGAAAGATGTAAGTCAAGTCTTCATTAGAGTAACTAACATTAAATCTACAGGCAGTCCCCGGGTTACGTACAAGATAGGGACTGTAGGTTTGTTCTTAAGTTGAATTTGTATGTAAGTCGGAACTGGTACATATTGTAGGGGAAACTCTAGCCAAACATTTCTCCAGAGCTCAGTTTTATTCTCCCACACCTCACTTCCCTCAGTCCTTTATTCTCAAGCTGAGGAGTCTGCTGAGAAAAGCCGCTCCACGTCTCCCTGGTCTGCTGGGGGGAAGCAGCTAGTGCGGGGTTGCCTCACCCCGTTTGTAAGTAGGGATCCGATGTAAGTCGGATCCATGTAACCCGGGGACTGCCTGTATTGAACAGTATGCAACGTAATCACAGGAACTCACCGAAGTTCTGTGTTCATGAACTATACCTGTTTTTTGGATGTGCAGTTACAAAAAATTTTCCTTCCATTTTTATTCTTAACAGAGGGCAGGCAAGTAAGCATTCTGACTGGCGAATACATTTTAACTGCTATAGAACATTATCACAACTTATTTCATCTGTAACTCCATCTCTTTAAAAGGAGCCCTTTCACCTGACGTTCTCTTACTTTGTGTTCCCTGCCTCTTCCCAGTGCCTGGAACTTCACAAACCATACTCCTGATGCCCAGCACAGTATAAATCACTCCTGCTGGGCTCCTCTCATGTGTCATCTTGTGCCACAACTAATCCCTTATTTCACTTGTAGCACATGCATCACTCAGCAGAAGAGAAACCTGTGGATGTAAGACAATACTGTCTGGTGTCACTCGAAGGGATATATTGTGGTAGTAACAGACTGTCAAGATTTGTATTAAGGAAGATAAAGTGCTACAGGGAGCAAGGAACCCTATTCCATTTACATTTAGCAACTCATACAGTACTGTACTTTGAAGAATCTTGGCCCTGAACACACAAACCCCTTTTCTGCTCCCCCCTCTCTGAGGAGTCCTGAACAAGCCATAAGCATAAATTTAAATAGTTACTCTAAATTCTTCCTTAGACCAGTGCCTTGTTGTGGTTAGCACAGAACTGGGCAAAATAAAGCCCATAGGTCAGATGTGGCCTGCCAATCAAATGGATCCAGCCCACGAGAACAGCAGGAGCCTCAGTCATGCTCCCTGCCTGCCCCAGCCCTGCAAGCTGCTCAGAGCGGCCAGCCATAGGGCCCTGTTTATGAACAGCTGTTAGCCTGGGGAGGGAAAGGCTTCATGCCCTGTCTGCACCCTCAGCACAATCTTGTAGCTCCCATTGACAGGTTTCTGAGCACACAACCTTCATCCCAGATTCTGCACCTCCTCATTTAATATCATAGAAGAACGTAGCCCTTGGCTACTTACCAAATTCTTTGGAGTGGCCTTCATCACAAATTATTGCTCACCCCTGGGTTAGTACAACAACTAGGACCCTACCAAATTCAAGGTCCATTCTAATCAATTTCAAGGTCATAAGATTTTAAAAATCATACATTTAATGATTTCTGCAATTTAAAGCTGAAATTTCATCATGTTATTATTGTAGAGGTCCTGACCAAAAAGGATTTGTAAGAGGGACACAATGCTACTGGAGGGTACAGTACTGTTACCTATACTTCTGTGCTGCTGTTGATGGTACACTGCCTTCAAATCTGGGCAGCTGGAGAACAGTGGCTGCTGCCCAGAAGGCAGAGCTGCTGCCAGCCGCAGCACAGAAATAAGGATGGCACAGTTTGATATTACCACCTTTGCATCTGGGCTGCTGCCTGCAGAGCTGGGCCCTCATCAGCAACTGTTGCACTCTGGCCATTCAGCTCTGAAGTAAGGGTGGCCTGGTATGGTAATGCCATTTTTACTTCTGTGCTGCTGCTGATAGGGCGCTGACTTCAGAGCCAAGCACCTGACCAATAGCCACCACTCTCCATCTGCCCAGCTCTGAACGCAGTACAGACGGAAGGGTGGCAATACCCTACAATAACCTTATGACCCTCCCACAATTCCCTCTTTTGGGTAAGGGCCCCCAATTTACGAAATGCTGGGCTCCCCTGTGAAGGCTGTATAGCATAGGATAAAAGCACACAGAAGACCACATTTCATGGGAGGAAAACAGATTTCACAGTCCATTTTCACGGCCATGAATTGGGTAGGGCCCTAACTATGTTCTATGTTCCTTTGCCTACATGAAGCATGTATACTGCATAAAAAGCCACGTGGGGGCTGTATGTTCACTTTATGCTATTTTTACTTTTCTCTCTATTGAAAAACAAAGCAAATCAACAAGGTGTTAAAATGCACAGCAGTTTGAAGATTACCATTAAAGATGGTCATTTATTAAAAACTTTTATCCAAGTCTTTTTGTTGATAAACTGTATAGTCTGTATAAACTATATAGTCAATTCCTTCACCAAGTTTTAGTTCATTGTGAAATGCATTCAAGAAGTCAAATAACAAATGTCACGTTTTACATCAGAGGCTCATGCAACTGCACATCCTCTAATGTGATAAACATGATCAAGTGCCAGCAATGCCCCTCAGTCATGTATATTAGCCAAACTGGACAGTCTCTATGATAAAGGATAAATGGACACAAATCAGATATTAGAAATGGTAACACACAAAAACCTGTAGAAGCACATTTTAACCCAACGGTTCCCAACCGCTGGTCGGCAGACTGGTGCCAGACTGCGGCACACTGCCAGGCCACGCCCATGCTGGCTGCTCCAGGACCAGGGCTGGAGTATACCTTGGGCTCGTGGCTGGCAGCTGCTGGAGCTGAAGCCGGCTGTTCGCAGTGGCTTTTCCTCCCTGAACCGCCTCATGCCCAGGAAAGCTCATGATGCCATCTACATGTTTTGTTAGCCTTTAAAGTGCTACTGGACTAGTGGTCACCAACCAGTAGATTGGGATCTACTGGTAGATCTTGGAGCTTCTGACAGGTGATCCTGACTGGTTTAAGAGGCTAGCAAGTGCCGGCACTTCAGCTGCCCCTCTATCCTTGTGCTGCGCATCTCCTGCCCTCTGTCTTGGAGCTGCCTCCCCCCACTCCTGGTAGCCTCCTGCTTGCTGTGCAGGGCAGGGGAGGGAGAAGCAAAGCACTGGTGTCAAGGTGCCCCCTCTCCCACCCTGTATCCCATCTCCACAGAGCAGGGCGGTGGGCGCAACAGGACATCAGAGGGAGTTTACTCGCTACTTTTGGGAGTGATGCAGGGCCAGGGGAGGGATGAGCCTGCCTTAGCCCCACTGCACCACCACCCAGGAGCTACTTGAGGTAATCAGTGCCCTGTCAGAGCCCATGTCCTGAAACCCCACCACAGTAATGAACCCCCTCCTGCACCCCAAGTTCATGCCCTAGCCCTGAGCACCCCTGCATCCAAACACCCTCCCAGAGCCTGCCCCCAGAACCCCATCTGGCACCCCAACTGCCTGCCCCAAGATCAGATCAGAGCCCCTCTCGCACTCCAGTTCCCTTAATCCTAGACCAGAGCCTGCACCCCAAACCTCTGCCCCAGCCTGGTGAAAGGGAGGGAGGATGGAGTGAGCAGGAGGCGGAAGGCTGAGAGAAGGGGCACAAAGGGGGGAGGCCAGGCAAGGGTATTTGGGTATGAGGTAGATCTTGGGTTGCACTTAAATTCAAAAAGTGATCTCATGCTTAAAAAGGCTGGAGACCACTGTCCTAGACTATTTGTTGTTTTTTAAGTTTTTCCTGTTACAGACTAACTCGTACCCCTTTGAGCCATTTAAAAATTGGTCAGTGTTTGAATATTTCAGAGTTAGTGTGGTCTAGGAAGGCCTGCAACACTGGCAAGGGCCTAGCCAGACCTGCACAATTTTCCTTGCTAACTTATAGGCCTGTTTTTCTCTTTGCATGGGGCCCACTTTTCCCTCTATGCTGTTTGCACGAAAGATACAAGTGAGGCCTGTTTCTCCCTCCCTGCTGCATGTAGAAAGATAGTGAAGCACATATTTTCCCTCCCTGCTATTAATGAGATAGATTGAAGCATTGTTACACTAGGCTGCAACTTGATAAAAGCACTCATTGTTAACTGTGCCTCATTGTATCCCCTGCCTGTTCTCACTCACTGTAAAACTTATCAGGGTCAGAGCTTCATTCCCCCTAAGTTGCTGATTATAACATTTTGTAATGCTGATTGAACTAAAAACCAGTAAACAACAAACAGGGGTGGGTATAATTGTATTAATCACCTGCTTATTAATATTCATTGTATGGGAGTTAACCTTACTAAATAAGGGTTTATGGAAAGTAATAATCAGGGCTCGACAAATCTGCTTATCTACTCGCCACGGGCGAGTAGATTTCAATAAGTTGCCCCGTTTACCAGTGGTTTGCGCACACACAGTGCGGGTCTCGCACATGTGCAGTGCGGGGCTGGCGAGTGGTTTTCGCCGCAGTTTGTTGAGCCCTGGTAATAACAGATGTGTGAATGGACATACTAAAAGGTCTAAAGGAGTATAACTAGCGCCAAATCTTTGCCACTTGGAATGGTATTTTGGGGGTCTCAGGTAAATGTGTGTGGATGTGGTGGCGTAAGCACTCCCCATCACTGGGGTGATCACCTTCTGGGGTGCAGACGTCGCCGCCTCAGACACAAAGGGGTTGGCTGTTGTCATAATCCGGAACACTCCACCAGTCTCTGGGTAACCCCGAGTCCATAAGTGGCCTGGCTCACAGACAGCGTGGCCCAATGGCCAGAGTCAATATACAGGCAGTCCCCGACTTACGCGGATCCGACTTATGTCGGATCCGCACTTACGAACGGAGCTTTCTCGCCCCGGAA